ATATATATATATTGCAAAGGTAGAGAAGGCACCAAAACGTTTCACGCATAACGTACCGAAAACTGCCAAAAATGCGATAAACTAAGACGCAGCATCACGCCGATGCAAAACACACAAGGACGCCGTTGTATTTTTAATCCAATTGGCTGAATTCAGGGTCGTTGGAACAGGCGAGGGCCAAGTGGTTCAGTCCCGCTTTATCTCCTCTGTGCCGTAAAATGCAACTCATTTTCCTTATCAATTTGGTGGGGATATCTTGCAGACTAAGCAGCAAGATTAGACTGCAAATCTGTTAAATTCTCCAGTTCATACAAAAATGTATATTTGGTATGAAACTCGTGGCGTGCTCGTGACGTCAGAAAATTCTTGCATCGCCATTGGCTGTCACGGAGGGAGTGTTGGGCCACGCCGCGCCACTTCTACGTCACCTTCGGTTTTGCCAAAACATTTTAATAAAAGTTATTTTCTTAAAAATTAAAGTGCTTCGGAATGGGTTTCAAACATGACGGATTTGCAACCAAACACCGATCGCTGCATTCCCCAAGATTTCACACGGCCATTGACGAAGAATTTGCAAACACTTTCGAGAAGATTCCCTGGTTGAAAGCAGAGGCCTCATTACATAAGCAGCAACGATTACAACGCCTTAGAATTCTAGAGGAGGACCAAACAGGGGGGGGGGGAGGGAGAAGGGGAGGAGGTGACAACCAAATTTCGCAAACGCTTCGAGAAGATTGTTCCACGGTTTTGCACGAGGCTTGTGGCTTACATACACTTTCAACGATTATCACTGCCTTATGAATTGCTAGCGCTCCAAACAGGGATTACAACGGAGGTAGATGAGGACAAGGAGGCGGTGTTTACACTGATGAAAAAGGGAGGGGAACAATGCTGATAACAAACCATGATTTGTTTAATTTCTGATAACATTTTACCTCAAGGCCCCCTTCCCACGCCAAACCTGAAGAAATCGCGACCATAGAACTATAGAACTTAGCTTAAAACCACCAGTAAGGACAACCAACTAAAAGAATAAACACACTAGAATATGGCACTCGGCGACAGGACGTTGGCACTGAGCCTCCAAGCCACGAGGCACCCCAGAGGCACTCACACCGCTCAGTCGGGTCTTGTCGAGCTCACGAACCCTTCCTCGGTCCCGCACCTCGATCCGGTCCTCATTAATCTTTAAAAGTCTGGGTGTCGATAAGATTGTAGAATTCGTGAGTGAGTCTGTCAATTTCGACCTAACTGCTTGTGCAAAAGAAAAGGAGATCTTGGTACAGGAAAGACACTAGGAGTGCTGAGGATACTAAAGGGTAAGTTGGTGTATTGCTCTGGTACAATTCATCTGAAAAGGTCTTGTATATTCTCAGTTTAGGATGCGAAAGAGAGAATGGGGTATTATCTCAAAAAGGTAATAATAATGGAATTAATGATAATAGAGATACGAATAGTAATGATGATGGTGATGGTGAAAATAATAATGATGATAATGATGGTGAAAATAATAATATAATGATATAACAATGATAATTATAATAAGAATACTGAAAATGATTATAGTAATAATAATAGTAGTAATAATAATGATATAATGATAGTAGCCGTAATAATAATGATATAATGATAATAGTCGTAATAAAAATGATAATTCTAATAATGATGATAATGATAATAACAATGGTAGTCATGATGATAATAAGAATGACAAATAAATTAAGAAGCAGACAGATGAACAATAAATAGGTTGTGCGCTTTTCATCTAAAGTTTTCTCGGAAAGTTTTGCTCTGAAGGTCGCAACACAGTTTAGTGCAACTAGGGAATGCGAGGGTATTATAAGGTATCATCATCATAATCATCATCATCATCATCATTACCATTATTCATTCCATATATTTGCTGCCACCATTGTTTAAATGGTATTATCATCATTGCTGTTACCATATTTATCACCATTACTACCATCATTATCATAATCATTATTGTTATCATCATTTCCATTGATATTATTACTGTTATTAGTGTTACTAAACGTCTGATGCAAATTTTCATAACCAATCGTCAACATAATTCAGGAAATATATATATTGCCGTCGTCAAAGAAATCGGTAATTCTGATGCAAATTTTCGAGATCATAACCAAGTCAATCAATAATAAGAAGAGAGGAAAATAAGATTATATTGCCGTCTGATTCCGAGAAGTGAGAGATGAGAGAGAGAGATGAGAGAGAGAGAGAGAGAGACGAGAGAGAGAGACAGATGAGAGATGAGGAGAGAGGAGAGGGAGAGAGAGAGGAGAGAGAGAGAGACAGGAGGGAGAGAGAGAGAGAGAGAAGAGAAGACAGAGAGAAGAGAGAGAAGATGAGAGAGAGAGAGAAGAGAGAGAGAGAGAGAGAGAGAGAGAGAGAGAGAGAGAATCTATATTATGAAGTTAAAACATTATCGTGTCGTTCATATATGACTATGATAATGGTGGCAAAAAAGTAGTTATATTAAGTCATATTATTATTATTATTGGTAGTATTAGTATTAGCAGTATTGGTAGCGGTAACATTAGAAGTGGTAGCAGTTGTTGCTTGCAGTGATAGCAGAAGTAGTAGTACTAGCAAAAATAATAATACTAGCAGAAGTAGATCTTACAAAAGTATTAGTACTGGAAGAAGAAGAAAAAGTAGTAGTACTAGTAAAAGTAGTAGTAGCAGCAGCAGTAGTAATAGTAGTAAGTAATGCTAGTAATGGTAGTAGTAATAATAGCAACAACAGCAGCAGAGATAACAACCGGCAAAGTAGCAGCAACGCCATTATTACTCTTCCACAAGTCGTATGAAACTACGCTATAGTGAACAATATAGAGAAGTGATCGCTAAGAAATTAATCTGGAGAAAAACTCGAATATACGTGTTATCTCGCTACAAATTCACTCCGGTAAAGACCAGAACCGATAAGAATTCTTTTATCGTATCAGGATCAACTTTTAATACAGTCCGGAGTGGAATTTCTTGTCTGTGGAATATTCTTACTTACCTTATTTGTGTCTGCTTGCAAATACCCTTACCGTAATATATATGCTGGTATACCTCAGTGTTTTTTTTGTCGCCCGTTTGTTTGTGTTTATAATTTTGTATTTTTGTTAATGCTCCGTTTGCCTGTGCACTTCCCTCTCTCCCTCTCTGTCTGTCTGTCTGTCTGTCTGTCTGTCTGTCTGTCTGTCTGTCTGTCTCTCTCTCTCTCTCTCTCTCTCTCTCTCTCTCTCTCTCTCTCTCTCTCTCTCTCTCTCTCTCTCTCTCTCTCTCTCTCTTTCTCTCCCCACCCTCTCTCTCTCTGTTTCTTTCTCACTATCTCACTGTCTATCTCTGTCTTCTTTCTCTTCTCTCTCTCTCTTCTCTCTCTCTCTCTCTCTCTCTCTCTCTCTCTCTCTCTCTCTCTCTCTCTCTCTCTCTCTCTCTCTCTCTCTCTCTCTCTCTCTCTCTATCTATCTATCTATCTATCTCTCTTTTCCTCCTTTCCATCTTCCCACCACCCTTCCCCCTATCTAAACCGAGAAAACGATAGCGAGTAACATGAAACAGGAAAGGTCAGGTCAGGTCAAATCCTCCCGGGTCCACATGCCGATGAACCTCAGCCTCCCATGAAACGTATCCATGTTGACAAATGTAGAAAAGGTATGAATGAGACTAGATATCTTCACAATACAAGAGATGTATTTGACCGGTTTCGATTACGTCTTCATCAGAAATACATGTATTTCTGATGAAGACGTAATCGAAACCGGTCAAATACATCTCTTGTATTGTGAAGATATCCAGTCTCATTCATACCTTTTCCACTCAGCCTCCCATGTTTTCCATCCTTCTACGTTCATATTTCCCATCGCTTAGTGTTTCTCGTGGTGGTGATATCAGCACCATGGAAGGGAGGTTAGCATGGAGATGGCGGAGACTACTGTAACGTGTTCTAATTGATGGTGGTGATGTGTGATGAGATGATTGATGATGTGATAATGATGTGGATGAAGAAGAAGATGAAGATGATGGTTGATAATGATGATGATGACGATAATAATTCATGAAATAAAATAATAAAGAAGTGATAACAGCAACAACAACAATGATAATCATACTACTACTACTACTACTTCTATTTACTATATACTACTACTACTACTAATAATAATTTACGACTGATAACAATAAATGATACAGTAATAATTGATAATAATGATTATGAAAATGATGATAATAATGATGATAATTGATTTAAGATAATAGTGATTTTTAATGAATTAATTTATAACAGATAATAATAATATATAATAAATAATTATAGAATTAGTAATAAAAATAGATGATAATAATAAAAGATGTAGATTATGATATGATTAAGATGAGGAAGACGGTGAAGATGTCGATGATAATTTTGATGATATAATGATCATAGAGATGAAGATAACATTAATAAATATAGCAACCACAGCAACAATAACAATGATTCTAATGATGTTAATGATAAGGGTAATTCCAGCAAGAGTAGTTCATAATGTACATAATTGTCGTCCCTAACATATGCGGGTCTGAATGGGTAGGAACGGGGGGGGGGGTCAGCGCCATCCCTAGGCATCAGGGATACGAGGTTTCTTCACGAGCTGGACACGTGACCAGGATAATGTGGTCTTCGGTCCTAAACCCTGGCCTTGATTTTGAGATTCTGGTTATGTTAGGATCGTTTGTGAGGAAATATAGAATTCTGTTGGCGATTATTGTTTGGATGAAGAAATACTGAGGGTGGAGAAGGAGAAAGAATTATAAAAATAAATGTGTTTGGAAACTCGACGCTGTTGTTTACCAAATGGCAAGTCAGTTAAAAAAAATATTAAGGCCTAAATATAATAATATTAACACCGTATGCAGCTTTCAAGGATACTTGCTTTTCTTATCTCATTATCAAGGCGAGGCAAAGATAAATCGATGACATTACGTATAGGTTGTAGCCGAGCATAATCATCAGTGTGTGTCTGTCAACCAAAGAAGCAGGATCTTTCTCTCGCGCTCTCTCACCTTGAGGGCGTCGGCTATGTGATATTGGGATCCTGTAAAATGTTCCTATTTTGTGATTTTACAGAGAGCGAAAAAAGTGATGTTCAAAAATGTTTTAAGTACAAGAGTAGGTTAACCTATCGTCGCGTGACATTTATTTACGCATTGCATTGAAAACAAAAGGCGGTGACAATGGAAGCAAGAGATTTTAACGCCATGAGGATG